GTTTTTTAATATTCTAAAAATATATGAAAATATATTTAATATTTGTTTTAAATAATATTTTATATATTTTTAAAATAATAAAAAGATATGTAAATAAAAAATTAAAACACCAAAAAGTGTTCCCAAACAGAGCATAACACCTCAATGGTATTACTTATTTTTAGTATAACCTATTTTTAGTATAAATTTAGGTTATAAATAGAATATAACTCTTTTTTATCTTTTAATATACTACACTTACATCACATTCAACTCAAATTTTAAGACTTCTTATTTTCAATATAAAATAAATTTACCATTAAATCACTTAAATAGTTGTCATAATTAAATACTTATTAAAATTATTCATAACTTATTGAAATCTCACTTTTAATAAATAAATAATTAAAATAGGTTATTAACTTGTAAAATTTGATTCAAACTTTAAGAGGTAACACCTAACATAATTTCATTTATTTAAATGTACTAAGTCCATATATATATAAAATTTCACCTCAAAATCGATTGGAAACAAATTAGTCTTATGCTTTAGAAATATACCTCAAGTATTCCTTCTCGTTAAAAAGAGAACTTTCCTCTTGTATTCCTTTACGTGTTGTATTGTTGCATTCCTGGATCTTGAAAAGAGAAATATATTCCTTTACGTGAACTTCTATATATATTTAATATAATTTTTACTATATATTTACTTTAATTAATATTTTATATTTTTTTGGATAATAAAAAGATTTTAAAAAGCAAAACCTAAAGCTGAGATACTTCATAATGTTCCCCATTGAACTTATAGTCTCATTTATCATGTGACTAATGTTGAATATTAAAATATTTTAATTTTTTAAATTAAATTGACACTTTTTTTAGTTGGAGTTAATTGTCTCACTTTTTAAATAAAAGTAATTTGATTTAAATTTGAAGTTTTTAGTTCCTCATTTTATATTATGAAACTTTTAACTCTTAAAGTGAAAAATTTAAAGATTTTAATCTCTAAGTTAATGGAATTTGTTAACTTTCTCTTAAAGAGAAAATAAAATATTTACAGAATTAATCCTCAAAAATTAAAAATGTAACAATTTAGTTCTAAAAGTATAAAATTTAAAAAACTAATAAACTAAAGAAAATTAATGAATGACTTTCTCACATGCACTAGAACAATATTAGATATTTGTAATCAAATCGAGTAACTTACTCAATTTGAAAAATGAATTTTGATTGAGATTAAATAAAATTTATTGGATGAATTAAGACAGAAAATCCAAAAGACTAGAAAAATATAGTTAATTTTTTTTTAATCTCAATTAGATATCTTTTTTCAAATTAAGCTAATTACTCAATTTGATTGTAGATATCTAATATTGTTCTTGTGTATGTGATAAAATCATCCATTAATTATTTTTAATTTAGTAATTTTTAATTTTTTAAAACTAAATTATTACATTTTTAATTTTTAATGACTAATATATAAATGTTTTATTCTCACTTTAACGGAGAATCAATGGATTCTGTTAGTTTACGAGCTAAAATCTTTAAATCTTTAAGTTTAAGAACTAAAAATTTCATAACATAAAACAAGGGATTAAAAGTTTGGAGCTTAATAAGGTATCAAGCTAAATGTATACTTTAGCCTAAATGTATACTTTAACTTAATTTAGTTGTCTCACTTTCTATCTTAATAAAATATTAAATATTAATATTTCAATTTTACTTATCTCTAAAGAGATAAAAATACATTAAAATTTATCCCTTAATTATAAATAAGAGTAAAAATAAAAAAAAAA